TTTTAAAGGTCTGATTTAAATACTGTATTTATAAGCATATATGTTGTTTGCAGCTCTGAAAATGTCACCACCTTTCCCAAACATTGCAGAAACCTTCAGTGTTGAACACAGCCCACGGGTTCACTTCAGAAGCTGATGGGGGGGGGGTGTTGCTGATTTTGTTGTTGTTTCAACTGACCTCACTGGAAATACTGTCAGGTAGCTCCCTGTTTTTAAGAAAAGGACCATTTAGCTGAGAAAACAGTGTTGTTGTCTTATGCATTAAATCACTGGGAAGAAATTCAGTTGCAAGAGCATGCAATATTAAAGGTACATTGAATCAAACTCATTTCCAGTGGTTTCAGAGCCTTGTTTTCACAGGGCTCTTTGTCAGAACCTAAAGCATAAAATACACTGACAGGTCACAGTTGACGTTACTAGAAGGTAATGAAAACAGCATTTTTAACCTCTATTACAGAGACAAGGCGGGATTGCTGTGTAGTCGTAGCCGTTTGTCTCGCGGCTGTGACAAGCCTGCATGGATGCTGTCACTTAGCAACCACTGCCATTTGTGTTCCAACTGCAGCTTTTCTGTTGTTGGCACGTAATGAGTTGTAATCACAAGATCAGTCTGAGAGTTGTAATCACAAGATCAGTCCCACCAGGGGTGTTTGTCTTGGAGAGCCATGGGCTCCGGGGCTCACCTGTGCCCCTTGCTCAGCCTGCATAAGGGCTAAATCAGGATTTCATGAGTGATGGCTAATGCAGCTCAGTCAGGGTTTGTTTTGGAGCTGGTTTGGCTGGGCCAAGTCATGTTCCAAGCCTGAATTCACCACCTGTCAGACCTTGCTCTGCAGCTCCTTCATGCTGGTCACAGCCCAGCCCAGAAGCTGCTTTGAGGTCAAAGCTCTAAGCGTGTTGGTGGTGATGAGGCAAGCGTCGATGTCCATGTGCACAGGGGGTCAGCGGAAACTGGAACTATGAGGACCAAGAAATAATGAAATGGGAGAACTGAAAGTGTTGTCTATCCTTTAAGGGTAATTCTTACCTATCTTGCACTGAAAAGGAATCCTGCCACAGTTCAAGCCCTGATGCTCTGCAGGAGCTGTTTAAGGTTGTGGTTTTACTTTACTTTCGATCTGCTGTAATCAGGCAATATCCCTCAAAGGAGTGGGTGCACTCTGTCCCAGACAGCACGTTCCTGCCCTTGCACAGTTTAACAACTGAGCAACTGCAGAATGAGCTGGGGAGTAATTTGGTGTGGATGGGTTTGTTTTGGAGGCAGCCATGTGAAAGACATCTTCACAGCTCTGTTATAGGTTGATGGTAAATAAACACAATTAAGCTTCTGTGCTCTAAGCAGAGACTTGGTATTGACATTACAGATGGAAATACTGTTTTCTTTGGTTTCATTTTGCTGTAACTGAAACAGTTGTGCAATTGCAGGGGCTCTTGATGCAGACTGCTCATTAGCCCTTCCATCTGGGGATGAGTTCTAAGTGTACCCATGATGGGTGTTTGCAGACCCCTGCATGCTTTCATCAAAGCTGGTGTCGTATAGCTCTATTCCACCTTGTCCAGACAGACACATGGCTTCTTTGAATGAAAGCTCTTCCTTTTCTCTGTGTGCTGGCTTGCAAGGTTAGAGGCAAGATGTGTCCTGACTGTGGAGGAGAGCGTCTGACGCAGGCTGAGGTCTGGCAGTGTTCAAGTGGTGCTTTATTTCTCAGCAGTGGACAAAAACCACTGCCCAGGAGGGAAATGACACAGAGCACACAGGTGCTGCTACTGATAAACTTTTTCCATTGTGAATTGTTGATAACTTCTGCAGTGAAGCTGGTTGATGAGCTTCCTGTTTAACACATGGGTTTTAGAAGCCTTGATGAGTGTGTATTGAAAGGGAGAGCAAATTTTGTTAGAGGCAGACAAAAGAAATGGCAAAGATGTGCATGAGCTCATCACAGATCACATATATCGAAGCTAAAGCAACAGCCCTAGATATTTATGGCCCATTTTTGACTGAGTTGTGCAATTAGTATAATTAGGCAAAGAGTATTCTTTGGGTTTTAAATGTCCAGTGTATTAAAACAGAAAATCAACAACAGCTGTTTTGGCAGCTTATAAGCTGTTGCTTGTGTAGGGCTGAGCCAAAGATGTTTACTTTCTCTTGGGTCTGTTTAAGTCTGAGCTCAATCCTTTCTTCAGAGCTTTGTTGAAAGCAACTCTAGGAATTTCATACCTAGGTACAGATCAGACAACAGAACTTGCATTGCCCTTGTGCAGATAAAAAAGCTAAAATGAGTTTTCTGATTTTCTTCCATAGAACCAGCCATTGGAGACATCAGTTCTTATCTGTGATGCTCTGCACTGGTACCACTTGTATTGCTGCTGCCTGCTAACCACAGCCCCCATTAAAGCAAATGACAGTCCTGCACCTCGGTGCCTCTTGCATTAAACAAGGCCTGTGTCTGGCCATAGTCTTTGCTGAAATTAGGTGGTGGGTGTGCTGAGAAGTCTCTCTTGGTGGTGCCTGCCTCCTGCAGGAGCTGTGTACAGCTACACAGTTGATGGTGTGGCATCCATCCCAAAAAGGCAGCTCTGAGCTTTCTCCTGTGTCCAGAACAGCAGGCCAGGTACCTCCTCCTTCATGTCATTGGAGTGCTCAGTGTGTGACAGAAGCAAGCTGGATGTGGAGAGTTTGTGGAAGGACTGCTATCATCACGTCATGAAGTGGTAAGTAGCAATAGCACTTGTTGAAGTGAAGGCTCAGTCTGCGTCTGAGAGTAACAAGGCTATTTCTCTGGACTGTCTCCTTGAGAATTAAAGCTCCCCCCTTAGGTGCACCACATAACCACAGCTCCTTGGCAAGACATAACACATGGTCCAAGTTCTTAACCCAACAGAAAGCTGCATGGCTGGGATAAAGATCTTGTGGAGGGGCAAAAAAAGCTTTGGTAGGTAAGAAGCAGGTTGAAAATGAGTTAGCAGGGTAAATGGGGAAGGGCATGAATGAGTTCTTAAGTGTGGAAAGATGAGCATGCTAGAGAGGGTACTCCAGCATGATGGATGATTCACATTAGTAGCTGTTGGTGTGAGTTTACAAATTTGATGGCCCATTTTTCAGTTCAAATCCCACTGCCATTGTCCTCTGTAGAAAGAATTGTGGGGGTTTTTAGTTTGGTTTCATCTCCCTTAACTCCTCTAGTCCCTGGCATTTGCTCCTCACACTGCTTGGATGTTCATGACCTTTCATGTTTCTCCCAGTTATCAGGTGCGGGATGTCAGTACAAGTATCTCAGTGTTCATAAGGCACTACTATAACTAGAGCACCAGAGAAAACAATGTAAGGCCAATGTACTGAGCTCAGAAGACAGGTAACTACAGAATCAGCACTGAGTCACCTAGTTGCTCGAGGTGGAGACCTGTTTTCAATGAAAGATGAAATGAGTCCCTAATTCCCCTTCTAAAGATGAGGCCCTCCCAGTTCGTTGTACATCTGACTTTTAGTGTACAAGCATCCTGTATATAAGCAAAAGACTTTGGACTGCAAGTGGGCAAAAGGTATGAACTTAATGTCATCATCACCCCAGCTAATTAAAGAGTTCTATTAAGAATTAATAGGTCTGGGAGTCAAGAGACCCTGGTAAGAAGCAAGTCACTGTAAGAAGTCACTTTTTCAATTTGCTATTTAAATAATTCCTTGGAGTCTCCTAAACTGCACAACCCCAAAATCCCAAGAATTCCAGTGCCGAAGAGGAAGAAGACATTTACTCGGCAACCTGCTGTCTCCTTTCTGCTGATCTGACCTACTGCTAGCACATAAAGCTAGTTTTGGAACTATAATCCCTTCACCAGACCGGAGTGCTAAAACTCCACAAACAGTCCATGCTTTTTAAAAGCAAATAATTTCTCTCTCACTAACCCTTCAATTTCTGAGAACAATGCAGTGGCAGGAAAAGGCCTGATTCTTAATATCTCCTGTCTTTTGCCAAGTGTTGACCCTGCTCAGGTAGCAGAAGCAGAGCTACTTTCTCCTAATAACAGCTGCTGGTACAACACCTAGGGGCTCTGACACACACAAGCTGTGCATAGCGTGCTAGGTAAGTGTGCTGACTTCATTAAGAGGCACAGAGTAAACCTTCAACCTCAGCAGCAAGAAGTTCAAAGTACATCTCATCCTATTGTACTGCTGCAGGGATAACACTGAAGGAGGAGACTCTGGAAGTTTTGTTGTGTTCCTGCCTCTACATAGGCTGCAGGAGGATAAAGGATGCTTAGTAACAGTGCTGGAAAGGAATATAGCATGGCTTGAGCTACTGGTAAAGGTACTCCTTTTGTACTCCTCTTTTTTAACCCGTATGTTTCAGGAAGCTTCTTAGCACGTGGCAAGACATTGGAGTAACTTACAAACTACAGCATTCCCTTAGTTTTTTAAACAAATTGGCAAATTTTTACTTAGAAAACAGCATCTATAGTGTGAATGGCAACACTGCTTTCTGACTGGTTACCAAAGCTAGGCATAGATCTATTTCATCATGAAAAAGCTGCTGGTGACAGCTTCTCTTAGTAGTTAGAAGCTATCCTAGTTCTTTAAGAATAGAGAATAGGACCACTTGAAAAATTCAGCAAAATGAACTTGTTTTTGGCTTTCATCAAATGCAAAGTCACCTTTTTAGTATCACTGCTGAGATCAAACAACTATGTTATCTATGGAAGAAAGCCTGTAATATTAAGGATGATCAGCTTTTGACTCATTAACTATCACCTTCTGCTCTAGACCTCAAAATGCAGCAGGGAACCAGAGAACTCTGCTTTTTCAATGGCGATACAGACATGGTCAAAACATCCATCCCTTAAAACGAAGTCTTCATCAGTTTTAGCTACTCTGGCTCTATAAGGAACACGCAACAACTTGTTTTCAGTTACTGTTTTGTTATCTAAATGTTCCCTTATGTAGGCATAGCCTGGTGCTTTCTTAGAAGAGGTAGTACTTAAAAAAGAAAAGAGCATTTCTTCATGTGTTTACTTAAAAAACAAATCACAGTTTATTGGAAACTACACTTTTATTTAACATCAGTATTAAAACAAGGATTTTCTAGCCCCTTTAAAAGCTAACGAAACAATCTTTTTTCTCTATTCAGTGTAACACTTCTTTCCATCCTCTGAAGAAAGACTTCATGGTAGCAAAAAGTTCTCCTCCAGAAGAAAACTGCTTAAGCACTGCTCCCTCAAAGCAAAAGGTACTTTATCTTCAGTAACAGTCAGCTTCATTTTCCTCTATGGTCCCTACAGTAGCAAGGATGTCCTGTAAGAGAGACTGAGGGCTTTTCTCTACGTGGTCACTACTTTTATTTAGCTCATCACGTAGCTCTTCTAAGTCTATTGTACCCAAAGCTATCATCATGCTCTCTGGATCTTGGAAATCCACTCCATTACCACCATCCGTGGGGAAGTTTTTGGCCAGAGAACCCTGCCTTAGTGTCCTTTGTAACCAGGCAATGCTACGTCCTACAGGTGAATCTTCAGTCTCTCGTGAATCCCTTGGGGTAAAAGTTGGATAGAAATTAATCCTTAGGTTAAGCAGTAAATCACAGGCTCTCTGACCTACTGGTTGGTCACAGTCACACAAAGACCGAAACAAAAAGCTAAACAGGTTTGCTCGGCAAAGTATCTGCAGCACCTCATTCTGATGAATGGAACTTGTGACTGCAGATGAGACAGGAGCATATGGGCATTTAGGAAGGCCAAAATGGCAAAATGCATGATGACAGAAAATGTCAACCAGTTCCAAACCACCAAGTCTGACTTCCCAGTCTAAGTCATGTTCCACTGTTTGGATCACTCTAGAGACAAACTGCTCTGTATCTTCCAGTTGACCTGTGCAGCCTTGTCTCACCCACTCGATGAAGATGCTGATGACAGCCCTCCTAGGAAAGCCCTCTGGGTCTGTTGACAGGATTTCTTGAAGCTTTCCTATGGTTTTCTAAATGTAGAAAGACAAAGAGAAAGCACAATGAAGAGAGGAACATGCAAAGAAACAAGTCTTTTCATTACTGTGAGGTCTTCCTGCATGAGACAAGATTACTGCTGTACTACTTTCTCTTCACAGGTTAACTCATGTGTAGCTCTGCTCAATTCTGCAGCGGACTACACAAATTCATCATACCTCTTTATTACACTGATTCTCTACAACAGGTGACTCTGGAGCAAAGTAAGTAATGAAGGCCAAGTGTCCCACAGCAGTCACAGCACTTGCTCGCACATAGCTTTCTGGATCCTCCAGAAGCTTTTCTGTAAGCCTTGGCACCTCTGAAGACAGGAGAGACTGCCTGAACTCATCCTGGTCTGTAAACAAGACAGAAATCCAAAGAAGCAAGGCTTTATTCTCTCAGAGCATGTAACTGTTTCCAATGCAAACAGTTCTTTGCGTCATACAAGGATGCCCACTGACTGCAGGGACAGCTGCCAGTGAGCTGAGCCACTGCAGAGACCAGGCAGCTGCTCACAAGAGCACAGATGCTCTGTGTCAGGCTCCCTATTTTCCAGCAGCTTGGTGACTTTGAGTCAAGCCCTGCTAGACACTGGAGCTTGGAAAAAATCAATTTACAGTTGCTCTACTGGCAAGAAAAATCTTTCTCCACACAAGTGGGGACACGGTTTCAGCCTCATCAAATGTGTGCCTTTCCTTAAAGGTGGGAAAAATAGTCTTCCTTTCTTGTTCTCAAGGCATATGGCAAAGAAAAATAATGTAACTGCAGCACTGAAAGTGGCTGCAGGGTAAACTGCTAAAGCAGCTGAGTGTGCTGGATACTTCCTTTGTGCCCTAGGGACAACAGTAGTTGACAACATCCCTCTCCTTCCCAACATCACAGAGCTACTGGAAGAGAATGAGCATTCCCTTAGTGCTACCTGCTGCAAAGCCTGAGCTACCAGTGAAGTGGAAACATCGATAATTAATCTAAAGCATGCAAAGCAGATCAAGGCCTTTAGCCTCCTAAAGCCCAAACCACAGCCTGCTGAGTGAAACTGAGCAGACTCTACTGCAGAGCAAACAGGAAAAATGGGAAAGTTTTACCAGCCATTAAGGATCGCTGCCTGCCTTGACAGACATGTCTCTCTACACATGACTGTCTTCACACCCCTCAGTTTAACTGACCAAAAGAAGGGCACAGCAATTTGAATTCAGCAGAACAGCAGGAAGAGGTTATTAAGCTTTTTGTCAGATATTGATCATGATCAAAGAGTAAAACTCTTGACACTTTCTTTTCTTAGTCCTCTAGATACATGTCAGAGGATGCTTCATCAGCCTGGCTGACTTTCATAACATTAAAATAAACACTCCTTCAATCTGAAGCATTAGATCTCTACACCTACCTGTCAAGCATTTAATCAGGACAGTGAGGAACTCCAGAGAAGAATCTCTTACTTCCCAGCAAGGACTGCACAAACGCTTCTGCAGCACCAGAAACACATCTGTGAAAGCCAAGTGACAAGCTTGAATGGACATGAAAGACAACCTTTGCTGAAGCAGTTGCTGTACAACCTCTTTACCATTTAACCTTATGCAATCCCTTTTGTTGCTACTCTATGCTTCTCCCAGAGTTCTTCAAAGCACTACTTGGGCAGCTAAACCTAAAATCAGCATAATTGAAAACAAATGAATCTTAGTGCTTTAGGCAGGAAAGGTAAGCAAGAGCAGATTTCACACATGCCACTAGCTGCTGTTCATCCCAACTTGAATAGTTTTCTTACCTTCCAAAATCTTCTCAGCTTGTTGCCACTGACTGTTAGAACAGGACACTTCCTGTAAGCGCACCAACCACTTGGATGTAGCTTGAAACGTTGTCTTTAGAACCTGACGCAACATAAAGCAGATTTACTCTGTTATGGGAGGCATTGTTGCCTTTAGGCAAGATAAAATCTGGTTTAGCCTCAATCTTAAAGTGAAATTCTTGGCATAAAAAAGTACATACACTTTTTTATTAAGAAGCCACAAATAAATGGTGTTTCTATAGCATTTCTAACAAAGTCCTAGAAAGTGAATGTTCTCAGCTTAATGCTCTGAAGTTCTAGCACCTCCACTGTTTGATCTGCAGTTGTTGTCAGTCGTTTGAACAAAACAAAGCAAGAAAGCAAAACACCTTAATGCAAAGAATTCAGTACTTAAGGAACATGTCAAATTGAGTATGTTGGCACTACTTTTAGACATGATGGCTTCCATCTGTTCAAGAACACTCAATGCATTGGTCAGTTACTTGCTCATTAGAATTTTAGCTATTTCCTGCAAGGCCTGTAGAACCAAAACAAGTCTCCTACTTACTCTAATACAAACTGTGCTAAGAAACAACTACTGTCAGACAGCTTCTCAGAACGACATCCCACTGGGGCAAGCTAATAGACTTGGATCTTTCCATAGTTCTATACTCACAGTAGGACTGGTGTTCGGGCTCTCCAGGTATGCCAGAAGGACATCAAATACACTTCCTATGAGTGTGTCACAGCCTGAAACATACACAACAAAACTAAAGGACCAATACCAAGAGAAGGAGCAGCTGAAATGAAATCCAGCTGCTGAAATACAGAAAGACACAGGATTATGAAACTGTTTTGGAGAAGAAAGCAAGTACACTTCTCAGAGAAGAGGAGAAACATCCAATTTTTCACAAACACTAAAACCTTCTTAATGACAGCATTACCTGCCCTAGCTCATGAATAAAAAAATTCAGCCAAGACAGTAGGAAGAACTGGAAATAAATAAGCTTCAGAGGTGGAAGTGGTCATTCCTGTCAGCATTCAAGGCCAGGTTAGATGGAGTCTTGGGTGATATGGTTTAGTGTGTGGTGTCCCTGCTCATAGCAGGGGGATTGGCACTAGATGATCTTCAAGTCCTTTCCAAAGCTTACTATTCTATGATTCTATGATCTTTATTCAGTGAAAGGGAATAAAAAAATCTGCAACTATAGAATAGTCAAGTATTTCCCAAATTTTTCTGCAAAAATAGATAAAATACATTTAAAATGCAAACATCAACTCACCTTTTTGCTCTGAGAGCGCTGCTAGGACATCAAGAGCTGACCTCTGTACTCTGAAGCTATTGATCAAGATTCGGCTAACTGTGCTTCCCAGAGTAGATGCTGGACTCAGGAAGCCATTACAGAATTGTAGTATTGTCATGAGAGAGCGTAGTAAAGGTGTAGAGGGTAAATCTATGGGCAAATCAACCTAATAGGATGGGAGAAAGGAAAAGAAGTTTCCAGCAAAGTCTCAGGTATGCATACAGAGCAGAAATTTTTCTTCAGGAGGCAGCAAAAATTGCTATTTTTAGCATGTTCTTAAGGTACCACAATGCTAATAACTCAAATTATCTTGCTCTCTCCCAAGAGCTACGGCATAGATGGAAAAAGATTCTTTTCACTGCTTGGGAAAGCAGTTCAATTTATGTTTTTTTCCACTGGATCAATAATTGCAGCGAAGTATGGTAACAAAGCCTGTGAAGATGGATTTTAAACTAAATGCAGTCCCTCTACTGCAAAACTCTGCAACCAATACTAATGCAGGTTTTTCAAGGACCAATTTGATATCAAAACAAGGCTTCTCTTCTTTCTCTGAATGTTACCAGAGATAGCAGCTCCTTCAGATGAGCGAGGGTCTGACACAGGAGACTAGCACAAGTCGACTTGGAGGACAGAAGACTTTCAATAGTGATGGGATCACTAACAGACTCATCCAACAAACCTAGAGGATGAAAGAAGGGAAGAGCTTGGGTTATAAGTGAATACAGAGGACTGTGACTTTTAAAGTTAATCAAGATACTCGTGTAGTATGAATATCCTTTCAAATGCAACTGTCAGTAGGATGCTGCACTTTACTACAAACACTGCTGTTCTTCCTCCTCCAGTTTTGTCTGCACTGCACTTAATGTTAGAGGCTAGTGTGCTTGCCAGTATTTTATCACAACTGTACCTGCGTATTCCAGAGGCTGGGAGGCTGCTCTTAAAATACAGTCCATTGGCTGAAGCAGAACAGTCAGTGCCTGAATCCTCACATCTTGTGGGCTTGAAGAAGGAAACAGCAGTTACCAAAACAGGAACACTTAAATTATTTCCCAAAATCTGTCCCTAAATGTTGAGCAGAATGGGTTTTTTTCCACACAGGCTTTTAAACAAGCCAGCAATGGCAAAGCAATTATAGTATTATCGCAGTTCAAGCCTTCTTTCAAGATTCCCTGCCTAACTGAAAGCAGAGGAAAAATGGCTCTGGAATTCAGAAGCAGCCTTATCAAACTATGCAAACAGTGGGACTCTGTGCAAGAAGGGGATTTAGAGAGAAGCATTTTTTGTTAACAAAATGATGTCCTTCTATCTTAAAACAGGTGTTACTTAGCCTGTCAATCAGTATCCATACATGCTGTATTCATCTGACAATTTCTTGATGCTTTTTTACACCCTAAAGGGGGATTACAGTGAAAATAGAGGCAGGCTTCTCGGGGCGCACAAGACATGAATCTTCAATTGCAAGAGGGTAGATTCCAACTTGATATACAGAAAATACTTTTCATAGTGAAATGAAAATGGTTAAGCACTGGGACAGGTTGCCCAGAGATGCCATGGAACCCTCAGCCTCAGGGATATTTGAAATTTGAATGGTGAAGGCCCTGAGCAACCTGATCTGTCTTGGAAGTCTGTCCTACACTGAGCAAGAGGTTGAATAAGATAAATTCTACAGGTTCCTTCTAATCCAAGTTATTCTGCAACTATCAACAGTCTCCAGATGTATACTTCTGCTGGACAACAGTGGAAGCTCTTACATCAGTCAGTGTTTTTGTGAAAGACAAAATGGAACAGAGACTACTGGATTTGACAGGCAGTCAAATTGTGTCCATCTTGGTCAACCTTGGCAGTATGAAGTTAAAGGATTTTCCTATTTCAGGAAGAAATTGGCTGGCTGTAGGTAAGATGCAAGTGTATACACATAAACATTTAGTTTCTCTTTTTGAAAACTGTATTATTCTTACTATCAGTGTCTGAAGTTAGCTACTAGCATGGTTCTTGCCAACCACTTTTACATATTAAGGAATGTAGTGGAAAATGCAGCGAGTTAAAATACTGCTCTTGGAAAAACACCAAAGATATTAGTACAGGCACATTTTCCAGAGTCCAAAAATTTCATTGCAGGTAGTCCTACCATTTGTAGAGCCTCAGAATTCTCACTGCCAAAGGACCTGCTTGTACTGGGGTTAAGTGTTCTAAAGCAGAAGTCACCAATGCCCAAAAACTGCCTTCAGTGTCAAACACAGGAGACCTGAGAAGAAAGAAGTGTAAGTAATATCCTATTAGATGGTGGAAAACAGATATATCTCATCACTGAATCCAAGCTCCCAGATCTTTACCTTGACATTTTAAGCAAAAGATTTGCCAGCATGTGTTGTACTTGAAGAGTCTCTTCCATCAGAAAGGATTCTATTTGCTTTGCTATCCTTAACCAAAGTACTTCAGTCCACAGAGCATGACAGCTGCCAAACAAACTAGTTAACAGTTTTAATGACTGCTCAATGTGAGAGGCAGAGCTGGACTGAAGGGAATCTTCTATATGCTTTATAATCATTTGGGCACATGCTGGCCAGTCACAGTCCTTTGTGGTGAGAGGTATAGTTGTTTCAGACTCTACAGAGAGGGTGAGCATGTGCACCAGAAGCTGACTGGCAGCTGAAGCCACAAACAGGCTGGGATCCCCTTGCAGAGTGAAGACCACATCTATGCCTCCTGTGTGAAAACAAAACAAGTCACTGGAGGAAAAAAACAACAGCCTTCCTATTGTGAGGTGGAGCATTGCTGCACTCCAACTATATACTACTCTAATTCAAGTGCCACAGAGCTTTCAATAGTGTTGGTGTGGGATTTTGTACTTTATTTTGTAGTCTCTATGGCATTTCAAAGTCAGCCAGTCCTTACTGACAAACAAAAAAGAAGGTAAAATTGTTTTCATAATCTCTGGTGTTTTAGTAACTCAGGAACAGAATAGGGCTTTGATATAACGTTGGTAATATTAGAAGAGTTGACAGCACGCTCAACTCTGTATTTAGGGAATGAGCCTGTACCATCTCTGGGCACAACCAGCAGGAAAAACATTAATGGAAGCAACAGCACTACTTTTCCACCACATGGACAAATTGCATGTGGCATGTTATTACCAATCCAGTCTTTTAGGCCCCTCTGTACCTGGGTTCTAAAGTTAACAGCAGAATTTACCTGCATAACAACAATGGGAATATGAATGTGTGCAAGCATTAGGAGACAAATGAGCCCCTGGTTAGTTTTTCTGCACTAAAATCATATTGAACCTTTCAATAAGAGTTACAAATAAGAATACAGAGGGCTTTTAATAAGCTATTTTTATCATGTGTTTCATGAGGTTTGCCTCTTTCCTCTCTAAAAAGGACACCATCCTCAGCATTTTGGGGAAAAAATAATAAAAAAATTAAATGCATAACTAACTTAACAAAACCCCCACCATCTTTCAGTGACTTGCATGTTTTTTATAAATGGCCTGTTTTTATCTTGAGTAAATGAAAACTCCTCTCTTATTTGACATCTGAGCAACACACTGGAATGGAAGCAACACAGAGGATCTGGGGAGTTACCAGTCCCAGAAGTACTCACCACCTTCACAGAGGAAGTGGAGAGCAGGCTGGTGCTGCATCATGCTGTGCACACCATTCACCCAGCCACTTCGGACGGAGGCATCTTCCCACACAGCGCTGCTCAGGGGCCCATCCCTGCCAAAGAGCCTGACCAACAGCTTCTCCTGCTGAGGAGGCCAGAGGAGAACATAGAGCAAATAGTAAGCAAAGGGACTTGAGGGGAGTGGACAGGCTGCTCTGTCATCCAAGGCAAGAGTATCAATACTTAAGTGAAACCTTTCCTTCCTAGAAGTATCCCTAAAATAGATTTTTTTCAGAAGCCCATGCTTAAACTCAACGTGTATCTCTTTCACACACTAAGGCGCTCAAAACAAAAATCACTTGTTTTTAAAGTGCTAGTGACAACTTGCATAGGTATCAGTTCCATTAGACTACTTTATGCAATTGTATGCATTCCTTCCCTGAAGAAAGCCTTTTAGGTCTTGTACTATAAATGTATATTATTGTAGAAAGCAATAGATATAGAATAGATAGAATAGCTGTAGAACTCCTTCATTTTTGCAGGTAATCAGAGGAAAGCTGGAGGGAAAGCTACATCTGTCAGTGCAGTTAATATGTACAGAATCCATCCAGGGATACATCTTGCAATGACTGCTGTGAGATTGTGTTATCCCATATTCTGTGTTGAACTGAAAATTAGAAGCACTACATATTAACATTCATAGTATTACTGGGGCAAGACAGAAGAAGCTAGCAACTTTACAAGAGAACTGAAAAGGAACAGTATGATGGTGAGTCTTTATTATCATATCACTGTTTGCTGAGTTGTCTGATGCATGCCATAAGCTATATAAGCAGACTATGTACATTTTCCTCCACATAGGAGGAAAGAGACACATGGCATCAGGTACCTGTGTAGCCAACTCACCTGCAAGTGTTGGAAGCGGCTTTCGGAAGCAGCAAGTATCCCAGCTAACCGCAGGGTGAAGGAGAGGATGCTCGGACTGGGCTTTGGCAGCGCCAGCACGGAGGCAATGAACTCCATCAGACAGGGGTTGTCCTGCACCAGCTCCACGCTAGGATCTAGCGGCCGGGAATTGCACGAAGAGAGGAGAGAAGATGTAGGGTCACTACCAGGACTTCTATCCTTCCTCATAACTCCGAGCTGCTTGTAACTCCTCACAACAGTTAAGAGACGACTGTGGGCTCATCCGAAGCTCAAGCCCGGGTATCAAACAGAGCTTTACGGTGTCACCGAGGGAACAGGACCTCTGAGAGGGGCTTGCCCCAGGGTCCCGGCCTGCATGCCTCCCTCCCGCTCCGACCAGTGCAAGCGGCGGGCACTCACCGAGAGCCGTCAGGCTCCGGAACCAGTCGAGCAGCTTCTCCAGGCAGGTGTCATCGTAGCGGGGCTGTCGCGGGTGGGCCAGGGCAGCGCAGACTCGCGGCAGCAGCACTGAGCACTCGCGGGTCATGGCCGGGAGAAGGGACCGGGGCTCCGGGGAGAACATGGTCACCCCGACACGGTGAGGGACCGGCCGCAAAGCGAGTGTCGCAAAGGGCGGGGGGTGGCTAAGGGGGCGTGGGCAATGAGGCGCGGTTAAGGGGCGTGGCTAAGGGGGCGTGGCCAAGGGGACTGTTGCCAAGGAGACTGTTGCCAAGGAGAACGTTACTGAGCGGGCCCTGAACGCGCTCGGAGCGTTCCATGCGTGGCCTCCGTAGGAGGGTCAGGAGGAGGCCCCGTGGGTTCTCCACCGGCAGTACCCGCACGGGGCTGCTCTCAGAGCCGTGTCTCTAAGCTTGTCCCGGCGCTCCTGCCTCTACACCCTGCCGGCGTTCCTGCCGCTCGGGGCCGCTTGGTGGCACTCGCAGTCCGCAGCCGGGCCTAAGCCCGCCCGCATGCCTGCATGTTCTCCAAGGCGGTGGAGCCTTTGCGGGGGCCGCACCCGCCCTCCCAGGTCCCTCCGCGCAGGCGCTCTCGTCTCCCGCGCAGCCGTCTAGCTGCTGGTTGCCATGGTTTCAGCAACCCGGAAGCGCTGGCGGTGGGAGTCCGGCCTGCCGTGTCTGCCCGCAGCCCGCCAAGGCCGCGGAGGGGAGGAGCTGGTAAGGAGAGAGGGTGAGGAGGAGGAGGTGGCCTCAGACCGGGTCTGGCCTCGGCCCCGGCCCCGGCCCCGGCCCCGGCCCCGGCCCCGGGGCAAAGCCTGGACCCCCCTCAAGCTGGACGGGCTGGTGAGGCGGTGACTAGGAGGATGGCGCGGGGGGTGGTTAGGGTTTGATTCCAGGTGGAGGATTTGAGGCCCTTTAATGGGAGCCACTATGTGCTCTTACCTGTCGTAGGTGGCTCTAGTTGGGCCTGCTTTCCAAAAGGAAAGGGAGTGTGAGGGTTTCCAAGGACTGGTGTTTTTGTTATTGCACGTTAATATCCTGGTGAATGTGCTGTTGTTTGCCATCTCCTGTCGAGGCTGAGCGCCTTCTGTATTCTCTGATTCCTAATGTGATAGCTGCAGTGGGGTAGAGAGATCTCCCACAGTGAGAGGCCTTAAAATAACAGCAAATAATCAGTGTGCTGCAAGGAACATTGCCTCAGGAAATTAAAAACTATGTGGCATGGTGTGTGAGATGTATACTTGCTTGCTCTCAGCCAGCACAAAAAGCTGGTTTACTTGCTCTGCTGCTGTCAATCCCAGCCCCTGTTATGTCAGCCAGGGTTCTCAAAAAGTATTTCACCTTGCCCTGCTTCTTACAGACATCGGCATCTGTCCAAAGACTCGTGCTGCAGCTGTGAGCCTAATGGAGACAGCACCAAGTGAAGATGTTTTTGCGAAGGCAGCATACATTCAGGTAACTTGAAAGCAAAGCACAATTTTCCTTCTACAGTGGAAATGTCTGTATTTGAGAAGCAGAGAAACTTGTTAGCTCAAGCTGAGGAAAAGTTCACCACTTCTTTGATTCCTTGGTTTGGGGTTTTTTATCCTCAGCCTGATGACTTCTCCAGTTGAGTTTACTGAGTGTTCCCATAACATAACATAGCATAGGAACAAGTAAGTGAGGAAGAGGACAGATAGATGAGTTGCTGCTTAACTCTTACCAGTGGACTGATGGTGGAAATCTGCTCAAATCCAGCACCATGGAAGATGAGGCACCAGAAGGTTCAGCTGTTGTAACGCTCTGTGCTGAAGTGCGTTAAGTCTCTGTGGCTTGAGGCTGAAGTGACTTGCACTGTGTCACACAGAATGTTTGTGTTGGAGCAAATGATGCTGGGTTTTGCAACAATGTTGACACATTTACCATTTGAATTTATTGCACTCTAACTTCGTTGTGATAGTAAAAGGACGCAAAGTTTTCTGGGTGTGTATTATAACCAATTGTTTAGTAGCACATGTCACAGTTAATGCCTCTCATTTCCCAGGGAGATGACGGCCCATCTGCAATGACCTGTGAATTGGATCCAGAACTGGTGAGTTTTATTAATGGAGTGCTGTGGATGAATGCTTTAAAAGGCCTCTTGGCATGTTCTTGCGCATTTTACATCGGCATGATGTCTCCTGGTTGGTAAGATACTCTTCAGAGGGATAGCTAACAATATTATTGCAATGTAGTTCATCCAAACCCCTCTAATTCCAGATGGAATTCAGGCTTCTGAATTCTCAGCACTTGGGGCTGCAAGTGACGTTGGGCTTCACTTTGCTGTTCTATCAAGTTATGGGCCTAGGTAATTGTTTTACAGAATTTTACTGGAATTGATTAAGGCTTTCCTCTAGCTAAATGCTTCTGTAGATTAGCCTCTACTCTGTGATCATCTTGAATTTGCTGCTGCTCTTATTTAATACCAATGGGGAAGGTCTTAGTGTTCTGAGCATGAATAGACTACTTCCTATCTGCAGTGTAAAACCTCAGTAGGCACCACCTTAATTCTGGTCACTGTTGCCAAATCTGAATATATTTATATATTTACTGTGTTTTTAAAACAAATTAGCTTCGTACAAAATGGAGTTTGAAGCCAATTTTGAGATTATACACGGAAATCTTTGACAAGTAGAATATTTTAAATACATAAAAAAATTCTTTGTCTCTTCCAGAAGTTAAAGAAGAAACTTTTTACCAAGCCTCCAAAGTTACCAAGTAGTAAGTAGCAAATTTTTTTCTTCTGCTTCTGTTATTGCAGAACAAGAGATTTGTGGGACACAGGAGCTGGAAGATTCACTTGAAACAACATCTTATTATTCTCCTTAGAATTATTTACTGGTGTGTGCAGAGTGCACCTATCCGAGATTTGTTCTGTAACTTGTGAAGTTAGACTTTTATAGGCTAAATACTGACGTTAATAGTTTAGTTGCATTTCTTCCTTCTTCCATATAAACTACTTCCTTCTTATGTTATCACTTCTAATGGCAAGCATTCTGAATTTCTTTTTCGTTTTGGAGAAATGTTGATACTTGCTATACAGAAAGAATCTAGAATTCCTGCACCTATATACCATCCAGTAGATACCTGTGTTTGCAGAGTAAGCAGTTCTCTTATTTGTTGGTTGGTTTTGTTTGTGTTGTTCTGTTTGGGTTTTTTTCATGTGACCATAGAAGTGCAATGTTATTATTCGATCTGCAGTTTTAATGCGGCGTTTTACCTTTTTTTGGGGTCTTTATGTTTCTTACTTTTCCATTTACTTTCCTTTGTATAGGTCCAGTGAAGATTTCAAAGAAGACTTTACCTCAAAGTGTTGCTGAGTGTTTTGTTTCTAATAAGTTAAATAATGTACTTTTAAGCTTGGCTTTAGGTTGAGGAAGAGGCATGCTGTACATCTGTCTTAATGCTTTTCCTGAAATCCCTTTGCTTGCCTAAAGGATGGAATTTTAAATAGCTGTTTCATTTCCACTATGATGTTTGTGACATTGTTTCTTAATGTATGTACTTCTCATGGTGATTTGAAGAGTAACTAGTTAGTCCATTTAGCGCACATCTGTATTAATAATCTAAAGTGGAATTACTGTCAGTATTTGAACGTGACTGCCATACCTGAAGCAGTAATGTGAGGGGTTCCCCAGAAATTGCATCAGACTGATTCTGTTCTTCAATTACTGCAAGAAAATATACATTAATTCAAAGGTTAATTTAATAAATGAATTTAGACATGCGGGTATTGTACAGTTTGGATAGGCATTCTTACACGTAACTATTTCTTCTTGTGTTAAGTCATATTCCTGTCATTATGCCTCTTTATAAGCATCTTTATTTCTTTGGGAATTAGATTGATTTTTCTTTATGATGATTTTTTTTTCCTGTAGTTTAATGTCCCACTGCTCCTTATAAACCGGTATCTAATATGCTGTTAATTCCTATTTTTATAAGTAATAGAATTGTGTGTGTGAGCCTTGAAGTATGAGGCAAAGAGAATTTTTGTGACCTTGAGCTTTTTAAGGCAACACTGAGATATTCCCTTTTGTTATAGGATCTCCATACAGCACACAACTGTGTTCCAGAAAAGCTACAGTTTGGCCTTCTCTTCAGGGAACAGGCAGTGAATATCTTGAGAGTGCAGATGTAAAAAAACAAAGGCTAAGATCACTGAAACAAGGTATTGGTATAGAAAATTTATCTGCATATATGGATAAAAATCAGTGTTGTGGAGAGCTTAATGTATAAACTCTTAAGAAACAGATTTGTGTTTCATTATGGGCTACATACAAAGTCATTTCATTATTATTTGTTTGGGTGGTTGGAATTATCTAATCTGAAGCACTGGCATTTGTAGACAGAATAATTAAAACATCTGGAGCTTTCTATATTGCATTTGCTCAAAATAAATCCACAAAGTTAATTCAGAGTTATCCCTGGTTTTTGCATTTTTTGTTCCATTTTTATTGGCAGGAATGAGCTATCCTCTGAAGTCAGATGTTGACATGGGGCATGTGCAAGCTGGTTTTAGTAGCACTCCGGAATATTTGAAGGAAGTTCTAGGAACAAAGACCCCGAAACATTCTCGTTCTTCTAGCAATGGTAAGCTATGTAATGGTGTGGTAGATGAAAGTTAATGATCTTTGTTCTCTGTGTAAAAGCACACACTCCCTAAGATCTTAACTTTAGTAAAGCAAAAGCCATTTTGGTTTAGCCTGTATTAAAATATGTGTCGAAATATGATCCATGAGATTTCTAAATTGGATAAGATGGGGGGTTCCAAATTTTTGGGAGCAATGAATCACTATTAGCTTTCAGAACTTTCTGCAAATTGCCATGCATTTGCAGCTGAAAACGTTGCAAATATAATATGGTTCAATGGGCCAGCTGTAGACAATTTATTGTGACTTTGTAAAACATAGTTTAGGAACCATTGATAGAAACCATCTGCTTGCCTCAAATTCTATGTAATTGACTCCTTTTACTTCTCTTGTTTTATCATGTGGTTGTGATACTAAATTAATTGAGTTTTATGAGAAGAGCAAAATGTAAAACTTTTATCCTGCTTTTCTTAAAGGAGAACTGTAAGCTTAAAAAATCCCACTTACTTTTGAAACAATACCTTGCTGGTAGTACACAGCTTCTGGCAACTTTAAAAGGTGGTAAACATTTAC